GGAAAGAGTAAAAACCAGCACTACGAACAATACACAAACCCGTTTTCAGAAATCTCGGAAGCTCATTTTCGGATCGATACCTTTAGAGCCGCCTCGTCTTCCTCTTCCTCTCCCTCTCCCTCTCCCTCTCCCTCTCCCTCTTCCCCTTCCTCTCCTAAAGGACTTTCCATGTTTCACTTCCACAAGAGAGAGAAGCAACTCGTCGCAGAGAACACATCCATGGTGCAAAGTCTCTCCATCTTCCAGAGGGGTCGTCCTTTTGTTGAAGTCCACTTCTATAATGGTCGAGTCGCACTCGGGGCAGCGTTCCCTCGTGGTGGCGATCCGGTGAGCGCCTTCGGGAAGCAACACGATGCAATTGCACATGTTGCAGTTGAGTTTCCACTTGGGAAAACTTACAGGGTCGAGGACGAGAGTGCCATTGCATTCTGGGCAAGCGCATACTCCTTGGTTTCTGACAGAGTGTTGGCATGTCGGATGCGGACAGAGAGAACATGACATTCCCGAACCGGTACTGGTCTTGGCAGAGGCGACAAAGAGCGTGTCTATGCCTTCGAACGGAGGACTGTTGTAGCAGTACGGGCAGAGAGGAAATGACTTTCCCTCGGTGCCAGGCATCGAAAAGATCAAGAGCTCGAAGTTATCCAATGGACATGTGAGTTCCTTGTACAGCTGCAACCAACCATAACCAGTTTCTGAGGGTTTTGCTTCGCCGGTCTCAATCAAACTCGAGATTATGTACCATATGAAAAAGAGTTTACCTTGACTGAGCCCTTTTGAGGAAGATAATAAACTTCTTCACATGTGCCGCAGAAGAGACGTGGAGGAACTGCCGTGATGTATTTCATGTATCGCAAACATTTTCCACATTTGCTCAAAGCTCGACCAGATTCAGCATGTGGAGAGAATTGTGCCTCAAACAATGCATCCATATGTTCGATCTGGCGATGAAAAGATAAAGGAATATGCACATGGATCGAACAATGTAATTTTCTGTATCTATGTATCTCTATATATATCAAGCAAAGTTGACTAACCTGTTGAACAAAATAACTGAATTTCCGCTTGAATTGCTGAAGCACATGCTGCACGACGTGTGAATGATCAGCCTGACCTTTGGCCACAAGTGTAATTTGTTGCTCGATAAAGCTCCGGATGTCTGGTAAGCAAATATCTGGATCAATACACTGATAGCCTCTTATCAGTGTGATGCCTAATGCTGTTGGAACCAATTTCCTCCCAGCTTGAACCTGTGCAGTTGAACATTAACATCCGAACAATAACCGTATAATTTGACCCCACAAAACAAAATTACGAATTTGCATCTGAAACATACTGCCAATGAGTTACTCACCTGTACATAATTACGCTCACATATGTTGTTTATATGCACCGGTATTGATGCATCTGTGCCAATTCCATTCTTCTCCATAAGAGAGATCAGCTCGCTCTCAGTAAGAAAATCAGGAGGGGCAGTATTTCCCTGCACAGTTTAGAATGTTCAAAGACGAGTGAAAAGCATACTAAAACAAGGTCTGTCTTCAAACACGGTCTTTATATTTAAAGATCAGACTTATGGTTCTGACAAGGAAGAAGAGGATAAATAGCACACAAAAAAAAAATCAAAGCAATCATGCGCAAGTAAAAGGAAGGAAAGCAAGCAATGACAAGCAACAACAGATGGAGGAAGCATGTCACCTCATGCAGCTCTACTCTTAAAACTTCAATCTTCTCTCCTCTGACAAAAGATGGGAGTTTCTTTTCATCTACTGCAGACCAGGGCATTATAGCTGTAAACCCTTTTTCTGTAACACGCTGGCCTGTACAATGGAAAGTTTCTCCACCAATTGAAAATTCCACTTTCGTCCTGAAATATCCATCAAGAAAGATGATCATAAAACATATAATCCCGTATCAACTAGTATGCACAGATGGAACAGTTAATGCTTCACCTTATATATTTGCAGTTAGGAGACACGGTGCCGATAAAATGTTGGCAAACGTACTGGTAGAGCCGCCAAGCATCTCTTCCAACCATATCTTCAGAGGCAGCTCGCATGGGAGTGATAGGTGGATGGTCTCCTGCATCAGTTCCTGATTTTGGCTTATGAAAGCCTTCGGAAAGCAGTCTCTGCACGTAGGTGCCCCACACTTCATTATTGGCTTGCGCTCTCAGCGTGTCTGTGAAGTCAAACGAAGAAGGGTATGCGGTGCTTTCTGTACGTGGATAGCTAGAATGAAGCACACAATGTTAAGAAACAGTTAACAGATTCCATATCAACGACAGAGGTAATCAGGTTTAAACATTATACAGTTTATGTGCCAGATAAAATGCTGAGTCAAACTAAAATGAAGATTAATTCATCACGATACAAGTCAATGTCGACATGAATTCAATAGTCTATAGCATCGTCTGCAAAGCATTTGTCTTACCCCTATAGATCTTCTCAATCACACACATAAAACTACACTAGGAAATATCTCTAAGATTTTACTGAACGTTGCCTTCTCTGGTTCTTTGCTGTCATTTATATTTTCGACTTTGGATTTCGGTTGTTTGATTTTCTTGATTCATTAAGGCAACAGAGCCGTTATGTGTCAGTAAACATTACAGTTCTTTCATTCATGAGTCATGGGAACATAACAAGATTCCATCTAAATTTATTATGGACTGGTAAGAAGGGTTAAATAAAAACAATAATAAGCCAGAATCTGGGAGCAAACCTGATGAAACCTTGAGTATACAGTCGCTCAGCAAGGTGCATAGCCATTTGAGGCCCAAATCCTAGGGCACTCGAAGCAACCTGCATAACTATTATTGTTAGTCACATTAGGGATGAGTACCAGGAACAACCAAACCTAGGCTTCTTGAGTTCAGATTGCCAACTTTTCTGAAAATTGATGTCACAATGACAAAACCTCTATTAGTGAGATCATGAAAACCCCAAAAAAGAACATTAAAAGAGAGGGAGAGGGAGAGAGAGAGAGAGGAGGAAGAACTCAAGTTGTACTAGACAGCGTAAAAGATGGAAATGGAGTAGAAAAAACTTTGTTGCCGAGTGCCAACTCATCCAAAAATGAAGCATGGTATAGGCACATAATAGCTCTCGATAAACGCAGATGCGAAATTTCAGTTATGCAGTTAATGTTTTGGGATCATTGGTGCAGAAAATTGGGCGTATGAGAAGCAGCATGTACAACCAGATAAGTTCAGTTTCAGTAAGAATCAACAATTCATGTCTCCTCTGACCTTTAACAAATTCACCGTGTTAAGTCCAGATGGACGGCCTTTAACTTCTTGCTTTTCTGATACATCAATCACTTTTAAGGTTCCATCTTCTAATACTAACTTCTGAAACATGGCAGCAACCTATAATTTGACAGAACATTAAATATATCAGCAGAGCAAAATTTTAAAAGTATAAGAATGTCCAGATTTTGTAACATAGTGAATAAAAGACTAACTTCCATGTCGAACAATTTGCGTCTCTCCCAATCTAATTGAAGCTCATAACCATCCTTTATTATATAAGGTCGCACAGCCCAAAACTTTTCTGGCTTGAAAGTAGTAATTTGCATGTAGCGTTGCACACAAAACCCAAGAGTAGGAGTCTGGCATGGACCATACCTGACATGAACATTTCAAAGAAACTAAAATCGAATCAACAATTAAATATGTTCAGTTGAACATGGAATTAATAAGGTACAACTGATGCTGAAGATCAACAGAAAGGACAGAACCAGCTCTTTTTTTCTAGAAGAAAAATGCATATGATGAAATTGAAATCTCCCCATAGGATCAGCTTACGTCAGGAGATCACAGTTCTTATTAAGACAGTCCAGATATGTTTCTTTCCCAAGTATTCATGAAGTTAAATTGTAATCCTTTCGCAGTAGCCAATTGATATTGAAGATGAAGCAAGATTAGACTCCTTTTCAGCAACTAGATTATTTGGACTTCTCAGAGACATATGTTCCTTGTGTAAGCACGACATAGAAGTTCAATGGCTGCATCATTTATGATTCAGTGTACCAAATACTACAGAGAGGAGAAAAGAAAGACCAACCAAAATGCAAAGAAAAATGAGTAGAGCCTAGAGGAAAACTACATAAAAGACTATAGAGAGAAGAGGAAGGAGAAGAGCGGAAACTAACGAGATAACCCCCTGGTCTAGATTCTGATATTTGCCTTGGAAATAACTAGTCTGGAATCTCGAGAATGCTACACCAACTTTTAGATCTATCTCTTGGCGAGCATCCACAGCTAGTGCCTCATTCCTATTTGGTACAACAAGGTTCTCCATGGCCTTTGAAATATCTTTCTCAGTAACAGAAGAAAACCGTGCACGATAAATCCTTCTGTTACCATCCTTCATATCAAAGCCAGTGCACTCAATAACTACAGGAATTATAAAAGTTCAACTGGTATTAGCAAGTTACAGGTAACCAGCAAAACCGTGCAGAAACAATATGCAACATTTCTGTATATAAATGGCATAGAAAAAGTACTTTTGACCATCAAACAAAAATTAACCCTAAGATGCATTGCATATGCAGGACCTAATCACATATACAATTGAATTTTATATATTGCAATTTGAAACACCTATTTTCAGATCTTAGGGTGTTCTGTAGAGTGTAGATTCAACAATAACAATCTGTGCCTCACTATTAATAACTAGAAAAGCAGGATAAAATCGCAGGTTTCTACTACAAACACGCCAGCAGAAATTCATGTAACGGATCAGCTACAGTGAAATTTCTATCAGGAGATTGAAAAGGGATAACTGAAAAACTTGCCTTCAAAACATATGTTCTCTCCTTCACGGTCACAGTCCAACCATAACACCAAATAACCGCAACCCCGAGCTTCATTACTTAAATGCCTACAAATATGAGCCTGTTTCGCTTGGAGACTGTTAGAGAAAAGGCTATACCGGCATCGATAAAAGATAACGAAGAGCAGATAATGACCAGAAAAGAAGGTCTTGCGGCAAACTATCAACCATATACATATTTTTTTTATTTCCAGAAGTCATGCATGCTATTTTGCCACACAGTCCATTCATCATTGAATAAGAACACCAACGTAATATATCTTTCGACGCTGTCCCTGTCCCGAATAAAAGCCATAAATCTACTCTAAGAATCCCCTACACATACCTAAAAAAAGAAATCAATTGTAAAAAGTTAGGCTTACCTTTGGGTTTGATTCTTTCTTAAGAATCGGTGCATCGAAAAGATCTTGCGGATCGATTGACGCCCAATCTTGATATTTTTCTGGGAAATCTACACTAGAGTGTGAAAATAATACTTTTAGAAGAAAGAAAGACCTGAGCAATATATAAGACTACCCCCAAACCATGTTTGTCCACACAAGAAACTCAAAAGACTGAACAAAACCAAGAAAAGTCCATTTTCATTTGAGCCATTTGTGAAAATATATACCGAAAGATGACACTAGACACCAAGCTCCCGGAATTTAAGAGAAATGAAGCAGCTCATGAATGGAGCATGATGCGCATGAAGGAATCTAAGCTAAAGCAATCATGTGTTACTCTTGAAAGATATTCATTTTAAGAAGGAGAGAACCTGAAAACATGCCCAATCACAGAAGTTACTTTATAATGTGCATTGAAGCCTCTAAACATTCCGTCGAACTCATGTACCTCCGTACTGCCTCTTCTTGTAGACATCTGAAGTGGAAGGAAGAGAAATATCAAATTACCCTCGAAGCAAAATCAAACAACCAAGTCGGGAAAATCTCCATTTCTTTATTTTCCTTTAAAAGCAAGTCGGTGTTTATAACGAATTTATAGGGTTCCAACCCGCGAAGAGCTAGCTAATGGGTCGATTAAACAATGCATCAGGGGAAGTAAAACTTGAGCTTCAAAGAGTGGATTAACAATGACAATGACAATGACAACAGCTTGACAAACAGATCGTATAGCAAATAACTTAAACATACTGCGATTGCATCGGAAAAAATACAGAGAAATAAGAAATAACGATAATTTTTTCCTCCAAAATCCACAAATTGAGGGATGTTCAAATGCTGTTCTGTGGCGAGGAGATTACAACAGGACAGTCCCGTTTCCTTCCTACTAAGAAATCGAGGGAACCCTCGAAACAGTGAGTCAAATGAGGCGCTCTAATCGTACTGGGAGAGAGAGAGAGAGAGAGAGAGAGGGAGAGAGAGAACCTGTCCATGGGAGAGAACGGAAGCTATGGAGAGGGCGATGCTGGGCTTCTCAGCAACCTAACGAGAGCATCGAGAGGGAATCCGTGAGGAAATGGGGAAGCTGTCATCAGGAAGTCGAAAATACCCAGATACCTAATTAGACTCACCATGAGAACTCTGGCCGGAGGAGCCATTGATGACCGAAATCGATGCTCAGCAGAATCAGAATCGAGGAGAAACAAAACAGCGTCTGCGTGAGTCGAAGAAGCGAGCCGGAGAAGCAAAGGGCAACGATGTCAAAACGACGCCCCGCGCTGCGTTTTTGTATCCTTATACGGCGTCGTTTGGCTCAGCCAAAATATGGAAATTAATGAAAATAATAATAATATAAATTAATTAGAGATTAATAATGTAAATGTAAAAAGAGATAGAATCATAGAAATATAAAATTATTCTAAGAGTTTTAAAAATTAGAAATATAATGAGTGAGGAGAAAAGAAGCACTAGACGTGGAATAAATATAAGATGATAGATGTTGATATTGACTAGTATTGTACGTGGGCGCATTGTTGGTGGACATAATCAAATCTTACACCATTTGATGCTTTGGGTTTGAATCAAAACCGACCATCAATTTACATTTTCATGTTTATTACGTGACACCACAAACTTCTATTATCTTGATTTAGCCAAACATTTTATATATATATATATATATATAATGCTCCCATTTTGAAAATAAACTTGTTTTATCTTACAAGACAACTGTTGTGCATGTCAACAAGAGAACTATGGCGTAATGACATTTGCTCTTTTTCTATGGTCGGAAACTATGTATGTATGTATGCATGCATGCCTGCATGTATGTATGTATGTTGGATTCTTCATTGCAACTAGAAGTTAGGTTTTTTTCCAACTTGGTTATATATATATATATATATAGTTCTCACGGAAATATAAGAATTCTAGAGACAAAGTCGTGCAATACATATAGCCTTTAACAAGTTACACAAGATTAAAAATATTAATTTACGTGGGGAAAAAGAATTAATGAGGATAGTTTCCGTTTAATCCGAAAGCTAATTAAAAGGGATGATTGTGTAAATTAAATTAATTAAGGGGTAAAAGAGATTAATTTACATTATTAGATATAGAGAAGAAGAATAACTGAAGCAAAATCTTCGTGTGGTTTTTCTCTATGGTACGTTTTATTTATCAACTTTTTATATTACGTAAATTTGGTTGTGACATGAACATCTTCAGCCATGCAATCTTGCTTTTGTCCCCTTTGTTATGATAACCCCTCGAATTTTGAATGAAAAGCCTCCTAGTGCATTTTTAATGGACCTAATTTCATTATTTTATGTCTTGCGATATTGACTATATATTATCGTAATTTTTGTATTATAAATACTATTTTGTATCGACCCAATGGTCAAATTGGAGCGGAAAAAGTGTATAATGTAATACATAAAAAGAGAAAAACCATATGAGAATGAGTCTTCGATGAAATATCATAAATGGGTCCTCCGTAACATTAAGGGTAGTCATGAGTCATGGCACAAAAATCATTGAATAATTTGTTGGTATTGTTTGAGCAAAAATAAAAATAAATAAGTATGGATTATATGGTTTAATATAGAAAACCATATATTATCGTGTCACTGAATAGAATATGCAGAATAATACAAATTTGTATATATTTTTTTCCAAAATATGCCATATTTTCGATCAAATACCATAATTCCCACTCAATAAGATTAACTATGTATAGACAAAACAAAACGATTAGACATTTTTTTTTAATATTTGAAATGTTGGGACATAAACGAACAATACGTGGTAAATGCGGATACACAATTGACACCACTAGGGCATCATGTCGCTTTCATTATGGTTTTATTGATTCCATATCCATAGGGGACATATTCATTTAGAAGAGGATTCCTTTGTCATATACGCACCATGCCATGAAAATGGTCCAACTGGTTAAGAGTTGAAAACATATATATAGCTCTCTTAATTATATAACGCATGGCCATATATTTATTTCATATTGATTGCGATTTTTTTCTCTCACAACGACTAAAATTTTCAATAATGAGATGGTGGAACCATTTATAATTAAGAAAGATCAACATTGAAGTGAAAGATGGATTTATTGTCGAGGCCTTCGTGTGCATGTATGGTTGGTCCATTAATTAAACGTATTTGAATATATGAAGAATTTGTTTTCCTAATCATATCACTGCCACCTTGTCCCATGAATAGCGTTATTAGAATTTGTAACGTCGAAATATAAGGAATAAGAAAAAGTCGCATATAGATTTATCGTTGTTAGGTATGGTTATGGACGATCATCGTTTTACAAAACAATTTTAAAAACGGATATAACAGTCAGAAATCACAAAACATACTTCTACGATGCAATTATTCAAATTTAATATCGAATATATTAATTGTTTTCAAATCTTTTTGGTACTTGTTCATACATGTAATTATGAATCATAGCTGTGATTGTCATCGACCCTTCGCGGAAGCACAAATTGTCTCGATTTCAAAAGTACACGTGCCAATTAATAATATGAATGGCTATATATGCGTAATCACATTTTGCTAATTTTAATTTTATCCACGTAAATGATTTTCACAACTTCATATATCGACCATCCACTAGTTCATGGGGACAAATGATGATCATTCGGCTGATTAGATACCCACACAAATGTTAGTCCACTCAAGACATGCATATATATATAGTTATTTATATAAAATATACTAGAATAAAGCGAAATAAAGTGAAATATAAAATAAGAAATTCGATTTATAAGCAAATACAATCTCATATCTTCAAATGATTCGGTGATGTATACAAAAACGCTGAAAATCTTCCTCTGTGAGTCGTTGCTTCGTCAGTCCAATGTCACCCTATGTATATACATCGTATATATATGTGTGTGTGTGTATACGTATTCGTAATCGTATACCTGTGAATGAATATCGGACACGTTAGATGAAAAAGACAAGGGCAATCATTCATCATTGATTAACATTAATGGCTACTATAAGTATAAGCAAGTATTTTATTTTGGGAATGAAGTGTGTAATTTTTTTGTTTGATCCGATTAATCTCGAAATCTGTTTAGATTTCGGATATTTAGTTTATTAGGCTGAGTAAATGATTTAAAAAGGTAAAAACATGTAATAAATTATAATTTAAAACAAACAAATTTAAGCAAAAAACGGCTAAATAGGTCAATCACAAAAATAATATCATATGGATTATATGGTTGTATGAGAAAAAAGTGATAACTCTTCTTTTATATATATATATATATAAAACCTAATGCGCATCATTATAAGATGGGTCAACCTTATATTTACTTTTTTTCACATATATATATATATATATATATATATATATATGTGTGTGTGTGTGTGTGTGTGAGTGAGTATATTAATTTGGTTCTGTGGTATAGGTCCAAACGATTATATTTATACATTACAATATTGCATCATGGACTTTAATTGCTCATGTGATGTATATAATTATGAGCCTTTATATATATATATATATATATGTGTGTGTGTGTGTGTGTGTGTGTATATAAAGTTTAAGCTATTATATTGTATGTATCCTCTTTCTGATATCGACTTCTTTTTAATAAATAATAGTATTAGGGTAAACCATACTATTCGAACCAAAATGTATATTCTCTATACTTAGACTGTCATTAGTCCTCCTGAAATTATCAATTACTCGTAATTTTGTAAATCACGTGAAATTAGGGTAAATTAATGCCATTATCTTCAAACAGGTATGGAAGTATCTAAATGGGGTAAACTGGTGACGACGATGCTAATCGCTAATCAATCACAATTAGCATTTAAACGTTTTACGGCGGAGCTTATATTACCACATTTTTGTATTCTAAATTACATTATTAAATTTTTTTATTTCATTATTTGTTATAATATCATCCGAGAAATATTGTATATTAATTGCTCCTTTGAATCATTTGGGATACCCCAGCACGGAACCCTCCGCCGTCAGGCCACTATGTATGAATTCGTTATTATTATTATTTTCATAACCTTATAATTTAATGATCCAAATATGTGTAATTAAGGATACGGTCCAACGATAACTAAGAGTGCACTATATGACATACTTTCAAGATAATAATGATAACAATAACAACCATAAATCCAACAGATCGTGAGCGAGTGGTCAAACTTGGGGTAGGAGGTAACTCCACCTTGAGGTTGAGTGTTTGATTCCTGACTGGTGGGGAGGAAGGTAATTTCTGGACTTATATGATCCATATACAAAGGCTGTTCCCAGGCCGGATGTTTACCTAGTCAGCGCGTCCGAAGGGTAGCAACTAGGGATCCTCCGTTATAAAAAAAAAATAATAACAACAATAATAATGTATAAAGTATAATTATTTTTTGTATATGCAAAACGTTATATCCAACTGTGATCACTAAAACTCATATTCCAAAAGGGATCCCTTTGTTAGTCCAATAGTGTAGGTTTAAGCACATTAATTACAAAAACATAATTATTTTATTTATTATTCGTAGTTGTAATGAAAGTTTTTTTTTTTTATAATTCGGAAGTTCATCAAGTCTTTGGTCCGACTACATCTTCGAACCGGAAATCGTCCAGGTGAATGTCCTATCCTACGTTTGGATTTAAATTCAGGGTGTGAGTATGTTTTACATATGCTCTCACTAGCCTACTTAAACTTGGATTTGGAAGTTTCGGTACATCATAGTAGACCGAAATCCAACTATATGTATATATATATATATATACACATGTAGCGTCCGGTTCGAAAGAAAGCGTTCGAAATCAAAATATGCTTTAACTTCGACAAATGTGCATGGGCCAGTTGGCCAAAAAGACGTCCAACCACTCACTATATATATCAACACGTATAATTATGGTCACTGTCAAAAATATATCTACAATTTATAATGACTAGACCATTATTTTATAATTTTATCAAAATCTTAAATGGAAAAATAATTTGGATTTTAACATATATCCTACACAGATTAATCAGAGAGGTATTCACGCACAAGATAGATGAGGTATACAAGCACGCGTATTATCACAGATATACACGGCCCAATCATTAAAAATGGCCCAGTCTGTGTAAGGTCAAGCCCAGAAGAAAGCTGAGAACGTAACAAACTCGAAGACGACATTCAGTTTTCGTTTTCTTCATTTTTCTTTTATTCTCCACAATTTGTTAGAAGTTTGTTAGGA